GATCTTTTAGAGGTCATATTATTATGTTTATTCCAGTTCTATACTAAACATATAATCTTCATTACAGCTCCGGTACTACTCCAACTGTCAAAGATTCAAAACTCTTATGGCACAAGCTAAGACAGACTCCATCCAAGAAGAGTTTTTACCATACGAAGACCTAGTTGTAAAACTGGAAAAGGAGACTGGAAAGAATTTTACTGAAAATCCTACCCTATTTCAAGCTCTATTCGACCTCTATAAAAGTCAGGTGAGTAATTTCTGTTGTTAAGACACTCCCTTATTATAGAGATGTGTAAAAGTGTTTAAAAAAAATGTAAATATTGTCCATACTCTACTTTAGCCATTTGTGGTACGAATTTTTTTTTATGTTGCCAAGCGCTGGGACGAACAAGTAATGCGCCTGGAGAAAGAGTTCATCCAGGGAAGTACTGCCGTACTTGTAAGCATTACTACATTCCGCCTGGGAAAGGGAAGGGTACTGGTGAAATTACAGGCACATGGGACTTGCCAACTTATGTGTCAGAGTGACGGGCATAACGGCAATGCCCCTAAGATCTTTGCGATATAAGGCTACGAGTGGTACTGCAACTGTTATGAATAGGCGCATAACACCAGCCACACGACTTGTTCGTACTGTCACTTGGTAGGTATTATAAAAAAAAAGATTCGTAAGCGAATGAGCAGACTTGAGTTTGAGTTGGAATTTAATTAACTGTGCTATGAAACTTAATAATTGTTTATCTATTAACTTAAAACTCGAAGACCGAAGGATTTTTTTCTACATGTTCGATCTTTGTATTAATAATTAAACAAACTAATGGAGTAATTTCGCAAAAAATAATTGAATATCAATTCAATACATATTTAAATACAGTTAATAGCAACATCTCCAGACGTGACTGGTAGCTGTAAAGTTACCTGAGTGACGACACACTTCCATACATATACTCCGCCAGGTGGCGCTGGTGCGGCTAACTGCCAAATTTAAACGCTCTGTGAATTTTTAATATTATTAGTAATTTAAACATTTGTAAGTTAACTAAAACGAACGCAATTATTCAGTTGATTACAAGATTAATCTGTGTTGTGAAATACAAAACAAAATAATCAGTGAAAATCATTGACTTACAATTATATGGACGTCGGGTCCGCGCTAAAAAGTGTCCGCACTTGTAAGGCGCTAAAATCGTATACAGAGCGCGACACTCCGCTTTAGTCTTCATTTGTTCTACTGACAGCGCGATACTGCGATGACATTACAATTTAAATTTCGAATAGGTTGACTTGGGACATTTTTTTCGTGGTTTTTGTATTAGACCCGTCGTCCATTTATTTGTAAGTTAATGGTGAAAATGGCTCCACCACCGAAAGCTGCCCTTGATAGGTTAGTGGAAGTAATTTCAAATTTGGAACTATAAATCAGTGCCTTGAATATGAAATTAGATAACTGCAACGAAATTATCAAAACCCAAAACATACACATATCAACACAAGACGAAAAATTGTCACAATTAATGAGGAAAATTGACAATTTGAACTCCACAACACACGTAATTACAACCAGACGCAAGAGTAAACGCAAATACAAAAATATTACCTCACATGATAGCAGCACAATACGGCAGCAACACACATCCACTTCCATCTCTCGAACACCATTTCAGGCATTCCACACAGGCTAAGCGTTCCACTGACTCACGGAATTACGATGATTCAACAACCGCTTGAGAAAACTATCCACAAACACTCCACTGACAACTACGAACCAGTTTCAACGACTCCATGTACATCCACCCCTGACACAAGGGAGACACGGCAATCTACGATCACCACCAAGCCTATCAATAAAAGAACCCGTGAACTGCAGTCAGGAGGCCTCCGTGCGGCACCGCCGCGCACTGTCAGCTTTCACTTGTTTAATTTTAGTGTAGAAGCCACTCCGGAAGACATAAAGCAGCATCTACAGTCACAGCTGTCCTTCAATCAGTCAGTCCTTCATGCTGGAAATGCCAGCCAACAAAGTCCAGTCTGTCCGGGATTCTGGACTGTGGCCCGCCGGAGTTGTGGCCCGCCGGAGTCTGGAGTTTCCATTAGAAAGTTCAACATTATCACTTCACAAAACTCACGAAGAACACACGCGCCGCACGATCGGGGATAACCTCAAATACAAAAATCGAACCTAACATAACGACCTTACATAGAAATGTACGTTCCATTACTAGTAAAACAGGAGTACTAGATATAATTTTTACACAAACACAATCCCGATATAATTGTGTGTTCCGAAACATGGTGCAGAAACAACGAAACAAAACGCTTGAAGTTAAGTGGGTATGAGCTTGCAAATTATCACTGCCGGCCGCGCGTCCATCACGGCGGTGTACCCTTGTTTACGAAGACAGGAATTTTATTCAAGCAAAGAACTGACCTACAGGGCCTAAGTGTTGAATATCACAATGCGATAGAATTGTATTCAGAAAATATTATTATTGTTGGTATTTATAGAACCGAAAACGGTGATTTTAAATAAAGAAAAAGAAAAATTATCAGTAATATTTGACGAAAATAAAAGGTTCATTTTAGTCGGTGATATAAACGTGGATTATATGACTGACAACTCGGATAGGCGGCGCATAGACGACTTATTGAGCTGTTATAACTCAAAAAATATTGTCGATTTTCCCACACGCGAATGTGACACTTGTAGCACTTCTTTAGATTGTGGGATAGGTTCGAGCGATGAGTGTTGCGTAACCGTTTCTCCGTTAGATACGCCGATAAGCGACCACAGTGAGCAGCTGTTTGCATTGTCTGTTACGCGACACAAAAATGCAAACAAATTTATACATCGACGTATCTTTGAAGAAGAATCAATTAATTTATTTTATAAGGACATTTATAATTATAATTGGGATTTTATTTACAACATTGACATTTACAATAATGAAAAATTTAGTTCATTGATAAGATAATATTGACATACTATATTGATATACATTTTCCTATAAAAAAATTACGATTAAAAAGAAAACCATACTCTGTGGGTGAGTTAAGAACTCAATCATTGCATTGAAATTTACAACAATTTCTGCACAACAATTAGGTAATTGCGTGCAACACTATTCAGATTTAATAAAATCTATGAGTCTTCGCGACCGTCGTGTATACAATGACAATAGGATAATGTCCACTAAAAACTCACGTACAGTAATATGGCAAATCGTAAACAATTAAATTTTGGCAACGACTAAATCACAAAATGTGCAAATAACGCATAATGGAAACCTTGTACCGCCTGATAAAATTCCAAATTGTTTCAATGATTACTTCCTTACATTTCATTCATTCATTTTATTTAAGAGCCATGCTCTTGTCGGTGTAGCCTCCTCCACTCCTCACGGTTCATAGCCAACTCCTTGACCTCCCTGTAACTGCTCACATTAACCTTTCTTTTTATTTGGTCACAGAATGCCATTCTCGGTCTTCCTCTCTGTCTCCTTCCTTCCTTCCATCTTTCCCTCAACAACAACCGTCAATAGTTCGTCATTGCGCAACAAATGTCCAAACATTTTTCCCCTCCTATTCCTTACAATTACTTCAAAATTAGATTTACATAGTAATTGTGAGAAATATCTGTCATTCCTTATAAAGTGTGTAGGTGAGTGGGATGTTCCCCAGTTCAGCCTTCCAACTGTTACTTGTGACTTATTGGAGAGGGTGGTAAAGAGCATGTTGCATTCATCAAAAACACTGGACATATACGATATTCTCATAAGTACATTAATGTCTGTCTGGCCAGTAATAGAAGACGTACTCGTAACCCTTATAAACGAAATAATTACCGAAGGTATATATCCTAACATTTAAAAAAATACCCGTGTATGTCCGGTATTCAAGGGGAAAGGGGATAAGACCCGGTTGAAAGCCACAGGCCTATCACAATAGTTCCAAACATATCAAAAATGATAATCCATTATATCTACAAGCATTATGGAAGATTTAGAAATAAACGACTCATTATCCGACAGACAATTTGCTTATAGGAAAGGTAGGTCCACCACAGCTGCCGCGCAAAGTGTAATGGATTCTATCATTACCAGCATTGATGATGAGTATAAAACAGCAGGGATTTTTTGTGACCTTACAAAGGCGTTCGATGTGATTGGGAATGAATTACTAACACAAAAATTAGCTATGTATCGTATCACCGGAGTTGCCCACGATTTATTAAAATATTTCTTAACAAACAGAAGCCAAACAGTTCCAGTCTGTACGGACGGCAAAAAACCAACTCCGCTGCTGGTGATATCACCATCGGCATCCCTCAAGGATCGACCTTGGGTAATACGTTGTTCCTGACGTTCATCAACGATCTTGCGCACTATATATCGGAGGGCTTGGTAGTTCTGTTTGCGGATGACACTACTGTTATAGTATGTGCTAAAGGCTTCACAGAATTGGACAAAAAGCTAACATACACGTACAGTCAGGTTTGTGAATGGTTTTCTGCAAATGGGCTTATTCTAAACACGTCTAAGTCGAACCTAGTGTTGTTCTCACGAAGAAATCCCGTATCATGCCCAATAGTCACCTCTGCGGTTCCACTTTGCAACACATGCAAGTTCTTGGGCTTCACTGTAGACTCAAACCTAAGCTGGAAAGTCCATATTCAGTCTTTGTGCGAGAAATTAGAATTCCAAATTTTTTTTCGGATTCGGTCTTTGTACTCATAATTATAACAAACTAGTAGAGTAATTACACAAAAAATAATTGAACATCAATTCATTACAAATTTAAACTTAAAACTGTTTTAATTTTTACACCTTAAAACAGATACAAGATCCAATACAAACTAAAGCCTTATCTTTGACTAAGCAAGCCAACTAATGGTTAGTATTAAGATTAAGCTGCACCCAACTTAAGCACAAGCTTACTGAACTTTGATTGGATTAAACTTTGGCCTCATCACATTGACCTATTACGGGAGAGACAGGTTGCATGCTTATTTGTGATATTTCTTGACGTGATTGAAGAAACCGTCTGTACTTATACATCGTTGTATAGTTATAGTATTATAGTGTAGTTTTTTTATTATATCCAGAGACGCGACTAAAGGTGGCAAACTAGGGGATACATCCGGTTTCCGTTAACCGATTCCAATAAAACTTAGCAAATAGATGTAATTACACAAACTTTTGAAGACGGTTTTTTTGTATAAAAAAGTTATAATAATTATTATTTACAATTACAAAACCATGCTTCTAAATACACTACATAAACAAATAATTGCTATATATTTACAAAATTAATGCAATAATCTCAGGAGGTATTATTCGCTCCATGCATATACTACTTTTTATTTTAAAATAAACATACTTTGCCAATTCCTATCTGTTTATGACACGTTTGGTTTCAGGTGCGAATTCTGAAACAATTATTATTGTCAAAAATTTATGCAAGCCACAAAGCTGGATTTGAATTATTACGCAACCGTTGGGTACCCACTGTAATTAGTTCCGAACCACATGCCGCAAGCAATTATATTTTATAGTACTAAGTTGTTTTATAGCTTCCAGTTAATGGCTTGTTGTACTATCTAAGGCCAAACTTCCTTCTGTAGTTTGTACTGAATGTCATAAGGGGCTTAAAAGCCAACTACAAGGTTTGCAAAGGCTAACTCTCACTGGCGCAGAGTCGAAGTGTCGCGTCTTCGAGGCCTGTTTGCGCCCGGATCACAATGTGCTCGGCGTCTGATGCCTCACTCCGCCCAATTTTTTTTTTTTTTTTTTTTTTATTGTGACTCGGCAAAATGACTGCACCGCGCCTGATGGAAAGTGCGAATACAGTTCAGAGATGAGAGTAACAGATGGAAAACACAAATATCTTCACTCCGTCACTATCATTTTGCCGGTCTTTCCAAATGCTTCGTCACACTACGTTTGAAGGACCCGATGTTATAGAGGGGAGGGAATACATGCGCCGGGAGTTGGTTCCACAATTTGATGGTTCGGCATAAGAACGAATTGCCAAACTTTTTAGTGCGGGACGGTATTGAACTGACCGTCCAACTGTGGCAACGCAGTCCGGCACGGGTGGTCCGCTGATGGAAAGGAGAGGAAGGGTAACCTACTTAGGAGTCATAAACTTATAGTTTGTTTCGCATATTTCATAATATTTTTAATCACACTTGCACGTAAATAGTGTGATTGCAGACTAACTCTACTATAATCCCCCTAATTTTCCTTGTATCTTTTCATTACCGCCGACCATGTTTGTAATGAGAAGAAAACAGGGCCGAGGGTTTTATTTGGGACATTATAGTTAAGTTAGTCTGCATGCAATCATGATATTTATGTGTGATGAAAAACATTGTATGTTTCACGAGGGATGCGGAAATTACGAACCTAGACTCCGAAAGAATCTCGTTCCTAATGCCTTATTTACCGCCCATAGTACACAAAGTACTTGTAGAGCCAACTAATTTTATCTCTGTCTTTGTGTAGTATTTGTTGGGTGTGATATGAGTGTTACTGTTGAGTATCGTTTTATATGTGTAATTAAAGCTAGCTGCCTATACATGAAATGGTAAGGGAAAGCTGTAACCTATCACAAACAACCCTACGTTCCTACCTAACAGCCTAGCCCTATAGACAGGTAGAGGAAGCCTGTCACCATGCGACCCAAGGTAACAGACGGAAGGTGGGAAGGATAAGGGGTGCAAGGAGAGGATTTTCTCACTGCCAGTTTCACAGACTCACAAGACTTATCAGATAAGCTGACGGCTAAGGGTGTCTTGGCCGCAGTGAGAGAATGCTGTAGTGAGGAGAGTTCCGTTGTCGTCGATGATACAGTGTTGATGTCTGGATCATCTGGATCTGGATCTTTATTTCTAAAAACTAGACTATTTATACAAATTCTATTTACATGTGTGCGTGTATATCTACAATATAATTTACAATGTAAAACAAAGGAAACGTCTACTCGGCATGCTGGTCTTGCACATTGCTATTCGGTCAGTGCACTGCTGAGTAGTCTATTATCGTCACGTGGTAATATATGTCTGGTCAGGTTGTCTGTTCATGTCACGTGAACGTGAACAGTACTATTATGGCTTTCATGTGATAAAAGTACTTTTGACATATGTGACTTTTATTATACCATGATTATATTGTGTTTTACTTTAGTAGTAGAGGTCCTTACCTATTTCTGCCGCCAAGCAGTAAATATGAGCATCACTGCTTTACGGTTTTGAAGGGCAAGATTGCTGGTGACATTACAGGCACATGGACTTGTCAACTTATGTCTCAAGGTGACAGGCGCAGTCGCAGTTGTCCCTTAGATCTTTACGATTCAAAGCTTCTTCTTCTTCATCTTTACGAGCGGCAGGCGCATGACTTCTTCGTCCCATCTCATGATGGTTCTCTGCCATGTCGCTGTCTCTACCGTCTCACTTAGAGGGTTACCTATCAGATATAATGTTTGCTCGAAGTTTCATCACCAGCAATATTACCCTTTAAAACCTGAAAGCGGTAATACTCACATTGCTAATACTTTTGGTGATATTTTGTTCATTTCTTGTTACAGATAGCTCTAGGCCTGGATTTACCTGAATGGGCGATACCACTGTTACCGAAACTCAGTGCAACAGCGAAGCTTGCATACAAATTGTACTTCAGGAATCATGAAATGAAGAAAATTGGTGGTGGTAAGTACAAAACTAATGCGAATAAAACCCGAGTAACACTGCAACTGCTATGAACAGGCGTACCACCACAAGGTAAAAACAGATTACTTAGAAAAAGACAAAATTCTTTTTATGAAGACAAATCTATTAAACCCAACAAAACGATCCTTTCCCTATAGACGCTAGAGCATAATTACTTGATAATAGTAAAATACGTCTCAAAAGTGTATTTTAGTTATAAGACAGAAATACTTAATCCAAAAGCAAATTAATTTACTTCAAGTCACAAAGCCACTCTAGATTCAACAAAATATTTAAAAGTTATTAGAAAAAGAATGAAAAATTGAGAGGTATCAAAAAGGGTAAATTTACAGGGTTATGGACGTAACAGTATGTCTCACTGGCGTGAAAGCACACAGTTCAGTGCAAAACTTAAAGTAGCAGAAATAGGACGAAACCTTCTCAAATACTTGAGTACCATTCAGTGCCGTATAAATGCTACAGCGGCAGAAGCACAACAATTCAAAATATATGAGATGACTTTATACTATTGATGTTAACAAAACGATAGCGCATTTCAGAGTACAACTAATGCCATCTAGCAGTGGCGTGATGAAACTAATTGCATGTTAAAGTTGTGCTTGTTACAAGTGTAGTTTGATTTCATGCTGAAACCAAATTTCTTAAATTACGACTACAAATAACACACTAACAAACTAGAGATACTACGTATTGTTTCTTTGGATAAATGACTGTTTATGATTTTTATGATTACAAGCACAATTAAAAGTAATCGTTACCGCGTGCGCCTTCGGCGACATGTCACGACAACATTGACTATGGAAACGCGACGCGACGAAATGTTGCTTTAAGAATATACTCTAGAATTTAGAATATTAATCTGAATAGCAAAGTACTTCTTTTTTTGTTTAAGAATATATTTTCTTATTATACACCCAAGAAATTTTGAATTCATTTAAGATTATTTAAATTTGATGTAAGAGGTTAAAACTTCTTGATTAATTGGACATTACTTAAATGTCCAATTAATTGATTAGAAATGAAATAAAATCTTGCAGTGAAGGATTTGTCTAAAAGTTACAATAAAGTTCAGAGTAAATTTGTATTAGAAAAAGAAAAGCAGTATTTTTGTAATGACAATATTTTATTATTTTAATAAATATTTTTTCACAATTAGCAAATATTTTGAGAAATTGCTCTTTCTTATTAGCAGAATTCCGTTTTTTGTGTGCAGGCGCACGACTTGTTCGTACTGTCAAGGGTATCATAAAAAAAAATATTGGTAACACAATTTGAAGTCAGTCAAACGCTAATTATTTTAAGAACCTTTTTTATATATAAAAAATAAGTGCGCATTTGCCCTCCATCTCACCTGATGGAAAGTGATCAGAGGTCGAGAATGTAGCATGCACACCTAAATAATACCGATTCACTCTCGGGAAACAAGTCTGCAGGCAGAATTCCACTCCCTAGCCATATAAATGTAGAAGCGAAACGCTTCGTGGGAATCCTGGGAATATTCACAACATAGAGGTGGAACCCCAGCCCCCGTCTAGTCCCCCGTTGATGGAAAGGGGAAGGCGGAATCATATTATGCTATTCCATCGCACACTCACCGTGACATATCCTGTAGAATACCGATAAACTGGCAACTCTACGGTGGTGTTCGTTGGCCGCGACACCTATAAACCTCTTAGCACGCTGGTCTATTGAATCGAAGGTGGCCAGTTGGTATTTAGCATAGCAATCCCATAAGTGGGATCCCAGCAATTATTCAACTGCCTAATTCTTCTGTTTTTTCGCAGGTGTACTGCTGAATAACTTCATCAATATTGCCAAAGAAATCGCATCGGGTTCTCCAGTTTCTCATCGGCTCCGAATCTTCTCCGCCCATGACTTCAACCTTGGTGCTCTGATGGAAGTTACCAGAACTATCAAAGATGACAGTATACCTGAATATGGTTCTGCTTTCATGTTGGAACTGTACAAGAGTCGGATTACGGGAGAGTTTAGTATTTTGGTAAGCAGATTTCTTAGTGTTAATATTCACTGCCAGGCATGCGCCTCCTCTCGGGCAAGGATTTAGAACATAGTCCGCCGCTCTGGCCCAGTGCGGGATGGGGACTGCATATGTTTTCCGAGGGCTGTGAACCTCTTCAACGTGCAAATTTAATCTCATCGATTTCAAACTAAATTTCGAGTAACTCATAGATGCGAGCCCACGGCTTCAACAAAGAGACATTCTGCAAAAAAGACGTTCTGCGAAAAGAACATTCTGCGTAAAAAAATTTTACACAGTGAGTAATCAACGCCAGATCAAGTTTTAAGCAAAATGTTTTTTTTTTTCAGCCTATCTACTTAAAGCAAGCCGGAGAAGTTTCAGAAACCCTGAAAGTTGAAGGTTGCGAACGCTACTGTGAACTAAATAAATTTCAAGAATTGACAAAGGACTTTGTTCTACCTGAACACGAGTTTTACCAGATATGTGGCGTTAAAACGGAACTTTAGGCTGTGAACTTAAGTTAAGAGTTCAAAGGTTGACAAGTTAGGTTGTGACCCTCGCCATGTAGATGAATCTAGATTTCCAAAGTCAAAGGTAACTTGCCCGACATTTGACGCAATAAAATTGAGTTATTAGAAAATTCTTAAGTTTTAAAGTATAAGTATTTTTTTGTTACCAGCAGCTAAGTCACAGAAGTTGTTTTTTATATAAACGTATAGATAATATTTTTTTCACCTCACTAGCTCGTAAAGGCTTTCTTTCTCATTAGAAATCTGCGCGCAAACGCGTTTTTTGCACGCTAGCGTGGAAAAGGTTTTTGAAGTTCGTACTTGTCAATGGCTATAGTGCACCCATTGACTTACAAATAAATGGACGATGGGTCTAATACAAAAATCACGAAAAAAATGTCCCAAGTCAACCTATTTAAACGTAGTGACATGTAAAGGAATATGACAAAGCTAAAACGTTGGATTTAAATTGTAATGTCATCGCAGTACTGTCTAATTTTGTTTGATTCGCTGTCAGTCGAACAAACGTAGATTAAAGCGTGAATGACGCTCTGTATACGAATTTAGCGCCCTATAAGTTCGGACACTTTTTAGCGCGGACCCGACGTCCATATAATTGTAAGTCAATGTATGCACCTTACACACTTAAAAACATAATGTTCAACTACGCGATTTCTAGTACATTACTTATGCATATAACAAAAAATCCGTTGGTATATTTTATTCTTATTTATTGTTGATATTAAATTGACAACGATAACTAATTTTAACTTGCTTCAATTGTAAGTAGAAGGGCTACCTGCAAGATTCTATTCTACTAGTTTCGCTGGTGTTATTTCTCTTTAAAAACACTGTTTTCAACTTGGATTTCCATATTTTGATACCACATAATCGGGGTAATTGTCTAGTAAATTTACGAATACGTTACCAATGTTGTGCCTTAAATTAAGTTAAGTAACTTGTTATTTAAGTATTTACAATTTTAAATAAGTTAACAAGATTAAAGCGTAAGCATTCTGTGATATTAAAAAAATATCTATTTAATATGGTTTTTTTTTCTGAAATTTCAACCAGCAATGATATAGTCAGAATGAGGAACAGTATATAAGTGAGATAGTGACTAAAATAGAAACAGGAATGCATCGAAGGTTTAGTTATATAGACGGAATCAATACCCTTAGCATAAAAAACGCATGTGGTCATATATCAAGGGTTTTGAGGACACTAAGAAGACTTGACAGAAATACAAAGAAAAGACATTTAAAAAGATATCATAGAAAGATATAGATACCGATTATACTTGAACTTATAATGATGGGAAAAGTTGAAGGCAAAAGACGCGCTGGAAAATGTACAAAGTCATGGTTACACGATATAAGGGCGTGAATGGGAGTGGATACAGTAGCAGTAGAGCTTCTCGTGAAATAATTTTTTTTTATAAAATATCAAGTGACGCGACGAACAGTCGTGCGCCTGATAGTAATCCATAACAGTTGCAGTGCCACTCAGAGCTTTAAATCGCAAAGATCTGAGGGGCACTGCCACTGCGCCTGTGATCCTAAAACAGTTCGTCCAGGGAGGTACTACCTTCTTACCTATTACTGCCGCCAAGCAGTAAAGTGAGCATTACTACGTTCCGGTTTAGAAGGGTATGAGTGCTGGTAAAATTACAAGCACATGGGACTTGTCAACGTACGTCTCATGGTGAGGGGCGCAGTGGCAGTGTCCATAAGATCAACATGTGTGATCAGAGAAAATCGAGTAAATATGTAAGCAACAGACGATCGATATCGTATTTTTTGTATATCAACACGTATCAGTCATCAAACAATCGGTAGGCACCTTGTCTCGTAGAGGACATGCGGAACTTAAGCTCGTTAAAGTGTTTCACAGGAGAACCGAATATATTGAAGATCGAGAGTGAATTAAATTCACGTACGATAGTAAGACAAACAATCAGCAATCAGGCAAGTTAACGCCTGGTGAATTAGTTTCCGCAATAATGTAAATCACATGTATAAATAATGTAAAATGAAGTAGGCGCAAACACACCTGAAGACATGAAGTTACCAACCCCCATCAGACCAACATTATATTATTTTCTGCAAACTTCCCAATGGTGCACTACGTCATAAAGAATTTAATTTCAATCTCGTAACAGCCAAATTAGTTCTAAATTACGCATAGTTTTAAATTACTCCCCATTGTTCCACCCCTTTGCAATTTAACAGCAAGAATAGTAAATTTTTCGCTGAGAATTTTTGAAACCACTGGATTGCGGCCACTCTTTGTAAAGGCACAGATTACGTGGGAAGGACATTTTGTTACAAAATGTAATGTTCCACTGTTTTCTCATGACGCAACTCGAGCTGGACATGACATAATAATATTACTATCCCATGTCAGCTTTGTCGAGACAAGCCTCTACAATAAACGAGTTAAAATAAATATTTTAAATGTCACGCCTGACACAAGAGATGACAAGAAACTGTCGGGAATAAAATGCGACTAAAATTACTCGTTGAAATTAGGCCTTTAAGTTTCGCTACATTCCGCGTCCTGGAAAAATCCCGAAAATGCCGGGAAAAAGTACCATATGCAGAGTTAGACATTTAAGCAATCTATACATGACATTTCTATCAAGTTATTTAATTATGTGATACGAAAATTACTTATGAAAGTTTTCTTCCATTAGGCACAACGAGCTTTTAACATTCATAGTTTCAGATGACTCATTGCATTATTATCGTTTTTCAATATTCAACATGATATCAAGCTCCAGTGTTGTTATATCCATGAAACCACAATAAAAACACTGTTGGTTTAGTAGATTTTTTAATACTGTATAATTGTCTTACGTCCCAGTAGTTTAGTAGCAGTAGAGCTTCTTGTGAAAAGTACAGGGAAGTAGCTGCCACCTTACCTATTTCTACCGCCAATAGAATAGCGTTCCAATTTTGAAGGGTAAGGGTGCTGGTGAAATTAAAGGGCCTTTGGACTTGTCAAGTTATGTCTCAGAGTGACCGGCGCAGTGGCAGTGCCCCCTAGATCTTTGCGATTTAAAGCTCTGAACGGCATTTCAATTGGTATGGACAGGCGTGTCGCTTACTGTACGGTACATTTTTAGAGTATTTGATTTTTAAAGCAAAAGTTCTATCTTATTTTTTATTTTTTTGACGTAATCTGAACGATGTATAGATGTATGAAATGTTTTGTACTATATTGAAGACATAACACACAGCTTTAAATCAAATGAAAGGTGAATTGATATTTTAGAAAATTTCAAAAATCTTTTATCATTATCATTAATTTATAGGTTTCTAAAAAGTAATGCGACACACAGCGAGATGAATACCCGCATTATACATTTATTCATTAAATTATCAAAAACTTTTTATACATCTCAAAACTCCTTTGCAAAACTTCTTTAAAATGTTTTTCCGCTAATTTCTCACAAACAAACATTGATTTGGAGTTATTTTTACTATAAATTAATGTATTTACTTAAACAAAGGCTATTCATTTAAAAGCGAGGCTTGTAAAAATAGTTTATAAAATACGTAAATTAGTGCACGTCGCTATAAGTTATATTGTGTAGATTTTTATGACCTGTCAGTTTCTGTTTCCGAGACTGTAGTTTCCAAAAAATCGTCGAGCGTCCCGAAATTTGCGACCGAGATTCCCAGGATGAAAGCCCTAGTTAAAATACATTGCCCGCAGCTTAATACATCGCGTAATCATATTTTCACTAACCACCGTTAAGTAAACCGTGCGTGCGTAATTTTGTCGTGCATTTTCCGCCTTTTTTTTACAATATCAAGCAACGAAACGACCAAGTCTGGTGTCTGGCGGTAAGCTACACGCCTGTCCATAACAGTTGCAGTGCGACTCAGAGCTTTAAATCACAAAGATCTTAATGGCACTGCCAATGCGTCTGTCCCCCTGAAACTAAACTTGATAAGTCTCATGTACCTGGAATTTCAGCAGCACCCTTACCCTTCAAAACCGGAATGCAGTAATAGGTAAGGTGGCAGTACTTCCCTGGACGAACTCTTTCACAGGTATCTCTACCGCTTCTAAAATTCGTACCTATATTCTAGCCAAATTCGATATAGAATAAAAGCTACAGCTTTGTTATTTATTATAATAATCTACATTTACCCCTGTAGCAAGCCGCCGCGATAAAACTATTATATCCACATTTAGCTGTCCAATTCGAGTAACAAAATCGACATTTTTTTATTTTATTACATGGCGAACACCGTGACCTCATGTTTTTGATGTCACGCTTCGGTCAAAAGGGCAGTTCAGCGTGCGCGTGCCATACAAAAAAAAGACAGATCACTTTTCGTATATTAATTTAACAAATTGTATAACAAACATTTTATAAAAACGACTACCTCTTACTACGTTGATATTTTTCTCGTATAATAATAGTTAACACAAAAGACAATTTATTATGGTAGTAAAATAGGTTACGAGGTAAATAATAGAACCGAAGAATAATCTCGATAAGCTGGTCTCTATTTTCTTTTTGGTGCGAAACGCGAAAAAGTTCGATTGGTTTATTGATGTTATACATAGGGTGCACTATAAGTTTCCGGAACTGGCCACTTACATAAACAATATTTAAAAAGTTAATTACAAAATTTGAAAATGGTACTCTTCGGCTGTAGCATACGGTTTGTTACACTTTGATTGTCACTTGTTTTTACATTGTAGCGTCATTTTAGAATTGGTTATCTACATCACCATGGATTTAACTCGTACAAATTGCCGTAGTATGATTTTCTACGAATTTAAGTGTAACTTAAAGCTCAGCGGAGCTTTACTCGGCTTCAAACTGCTTTTGGCGATGAAACACCATCTAAAACGACTATTTATAGCTGGTTTGCAGAATTCTAAAGCGGTCGTGTGAATCTCAGTGACAAATTTCGTGATGGTCTCTCGTACACTGCTGTGAACAACAAAAACATCGATGCTATCACAAACGAAAACAGACAAACAGTGTGAAAACAGACAGGCATTTGATATACCATAAGATTCGGGCATCTTTAGGCATAGGCATCAGTCAAATACAACCAATACTACACAAACATTTGGGTGCGAAAAAGCTGTGCTCTCGGTGGATCCCACACAATTTGAGTGAGGAAACAGATCGCGTCACTTGGTGCAATGCCATGCTTACCACATTCAACGAAGAGTCGTCAAATTTGGTGTGGTACATAGCAACAGGTGAGGAAACATGGATTTATAGTTACGATCCCAAAACAAAGTAGCAATCGAGCGTATGGGTCTTTCTAGATGAGTCGAAACCAACCAAAGTGGCGCGCGTGCAGTGCCTCTAAGCGGATGATTGCTTCTTTTTTTAATAAAACTGGACACGTGGCTGCTATTGCTTTGGAGAATCGTTGTACCGTGAATAGTGATTGGTACACGACC